CAAGATAGTTGTTTGTGCTGGTATGTTGTTGACCTAGGTGTAGACGCCTTGACCCTGAATGTTTGTTTAAGACACAAAGGTTTTACCGCAGTTCGCCTTTCTCTCTTATTGTTCTTCGTTCCATAGGTCACCATGTTTGTACGGCAGCGAAGGATCAGTTCAAGTGACTGGTATATTGCTGTTAATGATGATACTTAGGTTGCGCTATCAACGCTAGGTGCTAGTTTTCGGAGCGTCCGATGTTTCGAGTCTCTGATTTGGATCTGCGATTTCGAGTCTCTGCCTTTGTTTAAGTGTGGATTCCATACACTCCCCTGAGGCCGCATTGCGGCCAAACGTATGGTGCCTGTTACTCATTTGAGAATATTCGGCGCAACTTTCTAATGGGCGAACCCCATATATGTGCTGGTAGACGTGTGGCAACACACTCTCTGCAATGCCTTGAACGATTTTCTTTAAGCGCACATTCTATGCTTGTTTACGTGCCGAGTTTCGGGATTCTTCTTCCACGCCCCCATTGATTTATAATACATCTGGCTGTAGACAACACACTGTAGACAATGCGGCATGAACGACGCCTTGCATACAGGAGCGATTGGTGTTGTTGTATGCCCTTGTTGTATAGTGACCATGGAGTCAGTTTGATGTCCTTTTCGACCACCACCCATGACTTTGGGTCGTTAATGAGTACGTAATCCTATCTTATGCAACACTCTTCTCCGCTTCGACGGTGCTGTCGCTTCCCTAGTCCACCGTCGTTTGATTTGCCTCATCTCTCTCTTGGCAAACCACCACGGTGAAAAGACGAAAGCTTGTGCATTCATGTGGTAGCTTTTGTCCCCTCAGTACCATTGACAATAGTCGATATGTGTATATGTATCTATTATTGTGTGGGGATGACGGAAACTCCTATAGGTCCCACTGATACTTTCCAGTAATGTGCGCTCGCTTGTTGGCAGAATCAGTGATCTCCTTGCCATTATGCAATGAAATGCGTATGTTAATACAGGAGTCATTCTGTTGCAAGAAAGTTGGTTGCAACACGTGGATAATGGGGTCATTTAACTTGCTGGTTATTCTTCTATCAGGTCTGGTAAGCCCCAGTTTCGTGATGCTAGCGTCATAACTTACGGTAAGCAACCTTGGTGCAACTCACCAACCGTAGTATTCACATACTTAGCGATTTCTCTAAGGTGTCACCTAATTGACGGCAAACAGAAGTTCTTAAGTGGCTTTCAATCAGTCATCGCTGAAAATATGTACATTACTCCTGACAGATCTGCGTCAGAGTTGAAGCTTTTCGAAGACCAAGTTTCGTCTATGTTGCTGCTTAAGTTGGATTGTTCTATCTGAATTTTTACCGGCGACTTTGATAGAAAGGATACAACACTTCTGAGGACATTTGGATTGGTAGATCTAGTGACTTTTTGACCAGACAAAATACCCAGTTGGACGCTGTGTACAGAGGCTTCAAGTGGAACGGCGACTTAATTTAGCACGAATATCGAAAAGAGCTATCAGTGCTATTTTATATTACTGATAGAATCCCAGTAGCTCGAAAACAACAAACTGTATAACTTCACCTGTAGCACAATCCCCTCGGGTTTAATGCGGGTTTCCGTCATTCTTTACCACGCTCCGTCGCACTTGCCGGCGACTTTGATAGAAAGGATACAACACTTCTGAGGACACTTGGATTGGTAGATCTAGTGACTTTTTGACCAGACAAAATACCCAGTTGGACGCTGTGTACACAAATAAACGACAGTTGTTTTTATGCCAAACGGGATATTTTGAGCAACGTAGACCATTGTGTTCTAATCCAATTGTGTCCAATCCTATTTAGCAGATCTAATTTTTTTCACGCTGACTAGACGCCCTTTCAAGGTTAACAAAGAGCCAAATTTCTCCTTCGAATACACCACAAAAGTCCAGACGATGTTTTCATTAACTGATTTTTCGACTTTCAATGACGATGACCTGTCACTTCAATGTGACCATTTTACAGACTACATCCAACATTGCTTTGACTTGTGTTGCCCTATTGAAACGATATATCTATCTAAGAGCGGACAGATTTTCATCACTACTGCTAAAGCGACTTCGAAGGATGAAAGAATGGGCTTACAAGTGCAAAATGACTGCTCGTGTCAAGAGGTTAACCTCATCACTTATATCTGGGATAAAAAGGCTAAACAACTTATACGGTTCTAGGCAATCACAAATGTCCAGATCTATGGAGGCTTCCAAAGCAGCTCTTTACTAAGAGTTCCTGCAGCCATAGGGGTGAAGTGGATGTGGATAAACTGAATTCGGAGTTTACTTCCGTCTCACCAACTTCACCTCCCTTGCTTTCCTTCATTGGCTCAGGTCCAGCTGCGCCCTTCGATTAACATGACGTTCACAAGGAACTCAAACGATTAAAATCAAACAAAGCTTGTTGTCCGGATGCTCTCTCTCACCATTAGTTTTGAAGAGTGTGCTCATTCTCTCACATTACCTCTAACAAGTCTCTTTAACGAACGCCTCACTCTGGGTGTTATCCCGGACATTTGGAGATCGGCGAGTATAACCCAAGTACCCAAAAAGGATCTCAAAAGTATCGGCCAATTTCATGTGCATCTGTGCTTCTAAAAATTTTCGTAAATCTGTTAATTCCGCGGATTTGTTCAGCCCCTTCTGAGGACGATATCTACCAGTTTACGTATAGACCCCAGCGCTCCACATCGGATGCGGTGGCATATGTTGTTCATTCTATAGCCTCTGCATTAGATCAAAAATCTAAATCCGTACGGCTTCTCTTCCGCGAGTATTCGAATGCCTTTGGAAGGCTGGATAGGTCAATGTTGCTCAACCTGCTATCCGTGAATAGAGTTCACCCGGGTGTGGTTATCTGGTACGTGACTATTTTACTGATCGGACTCACTTACCAAGTTAAACAGTAAGAAGTTCCCTGTCCTCCCTGCTGACTGTGATACTTTTCAGGGAGCGATCCTATTACCTTTCCTATTCTCCTTGTATACTGTACTTCTCCCTCTAACAACCATATTTATAGGGTACAAATATACTGGTGATATAGTGCTGGGATGTATGGTCCCCACTATTCATAATCGCTCATCACTTCAACGTGGGCCGGAAAATCTAGTGGAGTGGTCTCCATGCAGATCCCCTACACTTAACGTATCTAAATGCAGTGATGTAATACTTTGTTTTCTTCGCCGCTAGGAGTTGCATTTCCTCACATAAATCTCCCTCACACTGTGAACGAAAACCCCATACCCATATCATACACGGTCAAGTATGTCGGCGTCCTTTTGTCCCAGAATCTTTCTTGCTCCAAGCCTGTCTGTGAAACTTTCCAACAAGTCAGAAAACTTTCTTTTTATGCCCTCAGTACCCCGTACCTTAATTTACGAGTTTGACATCTTGTATTATCCCCCATTGGTTGTACCGCTCTCCTGTTATCTTCCCTGCAAAGACTACATCTTATTAGCACCATCTATAAAGCACATTTCTAGATGCAGCGGTTTGTCTAGAGATTCTTTGGTAGACTTGTTCATTTCCAGATATCTGCGCGCAATAATTTTTCTTCTAAAATACTAGCTGATCGTTTTCATTCACCTCACAGTGCTCTTTCAAAAACGTTCTTTTTTCCTTTTACGTGTTCGAACTTCAAAAATTTCTCCTCCCTCACGTCATCGGATCGTAGTACTACTGTCTTGCCTGATATATCACTTTTGCTTGTTCTTCTTGACAGTTGTTACAATGACAGATGTGCATTTTTTTCATTTTTCCCCCCAAGTGTGTTTATCGATATCATCATCCAGTTTTCCGCTGTTATGGTGGTGTAAATGCTAAAGATGAACCCATTAGGGTTCATAAAGCTTATTTTGACTTGACTTAAGGCTAAACGCACGGCGCTGGCTTCATTCGATTTATTGCAGCAACTTCGGCAAACCGAAGGAACTGGGAGTTAGCTCGATGCTGAGTCGATCTCTATCTGGTGACTCATGATCAATATATGATTGCCTATTGTGTTAGCCGGTTGCTTTCGTAAGCACGGATATTGAGGGGAGTACGGGTACTGGACAATTTTACGCTGAGCCCATTTCGATAAATATTCCTTTATTCAGAAATTCATAGTCATTTTCGGTTCTAAGTAACTAGCTCCGCAGTCACCCACGTATTGGTTTACACAGCTCCAGTTGGCCCCGATAAACATCTTCCTTCGTTGGGATTACCAACAAATTTCGGGTTTGATTGGTGATCACAACTTGAGGATTGTAGCGGATTCCCTGCTTAGCAGAAATTGTACGTTTCAGTGTGGTGAAATCACGTTTGAAACTTAACTCGATAGGAATCTTAGCTGCTGTCCCTCGTATTTCACTGCGTTTCTCGATAAATCTTCAAAGATAGCCGTTTGCCATGAGTATTGTTGCAATACACGCTAGCCTATCTATCAGACAGTCCAGAGAGTTGATTTGTTTTTCACGACGGACTAGGATCTTCATTTCCGGAATACACCTTGGACCTCATGCGCTCTGCACCACAAGTTTATCTGGTCACACCCAATGTTTCTTATATCTATACATACCACTTACTGGTACTGGGACTATGGAGTCAATATGACATACGTACATTTACCAGCTTTCGTTTACTTACCTTGCTTTCCAGATTGCTGAAGGGGAAACTCACTTTTTTATGTCGTCTCCTTATGTTATTGTCACTGTGGCGTTTGTTCCTACTGTAGCTCATTCCATTTGTTTAATTGTAATGACGCGAACAGTTCTCATTCATACTGTTTCACTTCTTCTAAAGACTACTCACTTATTGAGTTCATAGGATTTCGCTTTGTTAGCTGCTAAGGTGAAGTTTGCCACTTTTTCAGTATCCACCTTTATGTTGTTTTGATAAATGGCTTTACCACTTACTCCCTGCCTCTGTGACAACTTGCCCTTGTTTCTGTCTGTCCCATGTTGTTTAATTTGACTCCTTTGTAGGTCTTAGAGACGTGGATTGACCAACTCATTTTCCAATCGAATGTCATTCAACCCATACCACTGAAATCTTCCATCTCTAATCGTCCAAGTACACCTCCATCGAACCTTATTATGGATGTGGACCAATGGGATTGGGACTCGTTACTGTCATTGGGCCGATACCTGTTTGATCTACGGTCCACCATCTCATGGGAGGAGCATCATAGGATGGAGTAGGTCTAATGAATTAATGTACATGAATGTGGGAATCGGTTTTCATCCTGTTTGCTTTAGATCACTGATTCCTGACTCTCTGTTTCCTCAGTTTTCTTCATCGTGTGATGGAATTCATCACGCCTCCCACAGAATGGTTTTCCAAATGTCCCCACGATAAGTCATCCGTTGAGGGAGTTTGTGCCACCGCTGGCAAACTCAGTCCCCTCGATGCTAGTAATTTGGTCTCTACGATGGACGCTGCTTCGGCCCGGTGCTTTCGCAAGGACAAAAATTCAACTCCTATATCTCAGCGCCAAAGATCGTTCAGCGCCATCACCAGTGGTGCTCCCGGTGTCAATTTCTCCCTTCCAGACTCCTCTTGGACCTCAGGGGTTCTCCGTTCCAACTTGGCTCTTTTGTCGCGTACTTGGCACCATGCTTCTTCTGCTGCTATCTTGATGACCGGATTGATTTTGCATTTAGCTCTATATCCCACGGTGAGCGTGTTTTAACACTTTTTCTAAGCTGTGCACTAGATTTCCCATTCTCTTTACACATAATCGTAACTTATTTTTAAATATACAATTTCCCCGTCTCACCTTCCTGATGTTGACGCGACATGAATGGTTATATTGATGGTTACATTGATTCTCGTAAAGCGTCCTAGAAAGTAAACCACGAGATCTTCCCTAACAAGCTGAGGACGTGGGGTGTTTATGGCTCATTACACCGCTGTATTAGTTGCTTCCTTATTGGACGGAAATGGAGGGTACAGGTTTATGACCATCTAACGAACTGGTATCTCTCCACCAGTGGGGTACCCCAAGTCACTGTGTCTGGGCCCATTTCGTTCCTAATCCACATGAACGAAGTACCTCAGCTTCTTCGGTCATCTTGCTCCTTGTTTGCAAATAACCTGAAGATTCGGAGAGTAATCGATGCTCTCAACTATTGTGTCCGACTTCAGCATGACATCGACCGCCTGTCCAGGTGATCTGCAGTGGTCGATCTGCCGGTCAACTCAGTAAAAGCGTTATATATGCGCCTTGGGAACGGCGTTGATGGGCGTACGTACACTCTGGCTGGCCATCCGCCACATTCCACACCTTCTGTGAAGTATCTCGGCGTACTCTCATGCTGCGATTTTAAGTCCGTAGATACACAAGCAAGCTATGTGGAAGCAAACTGTAAATGCCATGGGTGTTCAAACGCAGCTTCTGCTTTTAGCCTGAAGACGTTTTTTCTCTTCCATCATAAGACTGATGCTCGAGTACGGTCACCCGCCTGTTGTCCGACCACCCAGTGGTGAGGTGTGAAAAATGGAACAGGATCAGCATATGTCTACCAGACTCGTACCCAATTTACTGGGTATGCCGTACGAGGACCGATGCTACCGACCGGGGTTGTCGTCAGTTTCGAGATGACCATATAATGACGTAACGCATATTGCATTTGGCTCACTTTTCCATGCTGCGGCCGCTGCTTCACTCACGCGCACGAAGCAGTACTCGCGGCCACTGATACAAGCTCGTGGTGCCGGATCTGAAACGTATACCTCACTCTCTATGCTTTGAGCAATGTGTGGTGAAATATTGGAACAGTTTACCCGAGAAAATAGTCATGGCGAAATTGGTTTTGGAATTCAAGAAATTCGTATACCCCCACTGCTTATTTCAGATTTTGGGATGGCATCGCACCCGAATAACATATGGCGCAACTTCAAGATGTTGCAAACGTATAGTTATCAGCGACGTGATTCCGTTGACGTGCCAGATCTAACAGCGATGTAGCAACAGAAGTATATATCTACCAGCTCCCTATTTCTAGTAATCATTGTTCAAAATACCAGAATTGTCTGCACATCTCTCGTTCGCACTCAGGTTTTTATTCTCTCCGTCATTTTATCACTGGCCATGTCCACCTTTCTCTTTCGCCGCATCTACTCAGGTGTTCTCCTCCCAACGGCTCTTTCTGATTTCTCCGGTAGTATTCTGTTATACCAGCCCGCCATTGTCACTAAGCCGTGGGAGAAATGTCATGATTCTGAATCCAGCAGGTTTGTGGGGAGATACGCGTTGTTGGTGGGTCCCAACTGAACGAGCCAGCCACCCAACGCTTTTCCCCGTAACTTGTTGATGCTGGTTTACTGATTGTGGATGCGCGGTGAACCTCATTGTCAATGCCAGGTGTAAGGGTTTAATCCAGTAAAGGTTGAACTCCCTGTCAGACCATCTTCCCTGCCAAACGCTTCCATTGCCGCGGGAGATCCGATGCCACCTCATGACGGCTGACAAAACCTTTACAGCCAGAGTTTGACACTATTAGTTTCTTCGATCAGATGCTACGAAATCAATAGTGCCAACATTCATTTTTCCTTCTAAGACTGCCTCTCACTCAGTGGTTGTGGTGTTATGAAGCCCGCCGTTTTCCTCTTCAAATAAATAAATATATAAAGGGTAAATTCCTCGACGGTGACGGGCACAGTCTAACTGATTGGTCTGGTCAGTATGTACAACGGGATCGCATGGGATGGATAATATTCCTTCGAGTTCTTTTTTCAGTACAGTACCCAAACTATTTTGTGGGGCTGTTTGATCGATTGCATCTTTCAAATAGATTGATTGGTTGCTAATACTAATGAATGCAAATAAATCTAAATGTTCTAGTAAAGTAATACTGCGAACCGTGGATTTGTTCCCAGGGGACCTGCTTCCATGCAGCCTAGTCCCTTGAGAGGTTTCACCCACACTTCCATGTCTGTTCTGACCGTGTGCTGATGTGGTTTTAAAACCGGTTTGCCATCACCAGTTTTACTCATCTTTAGGACTTTTTTTAAGTGTTTATATAAATAGACATTTATGCCATATAGCCCGTACCATCAATCGGTTATTTTGAGTAGAGTACCTTTATTACTCGTCAAGGAGTCTATGGCATCTGGCCTCACATGGGTTCATCTATTAGTTTGGAAGCTAAAATCCGTCACCTCAGGAGATCGACCCAGTCGTGGCCAACAATGGAGTAAAGAAGAATATAGAATATGAGGAGGTAGAAAGGTAATTACGGTAATGATGTTAAAGAAAAAATTGTTGTATTTAAATACCGCTAAGAAATGCCGACGGATTTCTCGATCAAATTGTGCGGTGAGTATCGCCGTACTGGGTGGCTGCTCGGATTATCGTTATCCGAGACAGTTCTGAAAGGAATCTTCTGGTTTATCCGACAGCTGCCTGTGTTCGCAAAGTACAGTAATTGCCATCGCAGAGCACTGTGAATTGCCATTTGCTGCTGGGCTGTTGCTCTCTGAAATAATATTACAAGACGAATGTAAAGAGTAGAAAGGTACTCGAAAAATACTGTTTATATCTCGACAACACTTTGGTAGAAAGAACTTGTGTCCTGTCCATCAATCTCAATTATCTTACACTCGTCGTACACGCTGTGGCCACACGAGAAACACTGAGCATTCACAATAGATGAATCACCTCACCACTCCCTGGCGCGCTTGTCCCATTATTCCACGTTAGTGGATTGATGGAACTTCGTTCTTCAAGCATATCTCTATGTTGTCATCAGGTTGACATAATCATTGCCCACGCGATTTGCGATTGGTGGCAAATTGTGATGCAAGTTATAACTCGTAAGTTCTAACTGTCGTTACTTTTCTCTGTCTGTAGTACTTTTCGACTCGACTTCATAGCTGCTGTATGTGTATTCTACACCAACTCGCTTCTCATTTCGCTGCTCCGCTCTCCTCATTCCCTCTTTCTCACGCTTGTTGGTGCGACGTGTGCTACTACTACTTGGCCAGCAATTGCAGTTGATAGTGGCTGGGATAGAGTTGCTTTATTCTCTTCTGTTTTGATTTATCTTTCAAATTAATTCGTACTTCCCTTCTTGCAACCGTCGTTTTTATCGATGGCAGATGGCAGCTTACCGACTCGAAATGTACTCACTCTTGCGACTCGCAAGTATCTGATGCGAGTCACTCTCTATACCATTTCCCGGCCAAGTTGTCCTCTTGGGCAACAGAACTAATCTGAGGGGGCATTCGACATGAGTCTACTCAATTAATTTGTTCCGTGCGTACGCCAGTCACTTTTGCAGATGTGTAGGTGTGCGTGTATAGCCCGTCGCCTTCAGCCAATTGGACCTCAGAGGCACTAAGTCACAGGGGTGCAGATGGGACGCTTCAGCTACTACGCACGAAGCAAATTAATTGAGTAGGCTCATGTTGAATGCCCCCTCAGATTATTTGTGTTGCTCAAGAGGACAACTTGGCCGGGAAATGGTATAGATCAAACATAAACATAGAGGGCAGTGCGCTGGACACTGATTTCACAGTTAGAAAGGTCATTATGCAGCTAGGCCACCAAGTCCTTGGGTTACATTCCCATGTCATCTGTGCTGTTAAACATGGGTGTCAACGACTGTGAGTTTGATTCACTAGCCTTGGATATCTTTTGGAAATAATTGGGTTGGTGGTGGTTTTGACCAGCGCGGATGGGAAGTCAATCGAGTGCAGTTTATACAAGCAAACAATATCATGACAGGCCTTAAGACCAAGGTAGAATTGATTCGGCTTGGCATCAACGCGTTGCTCAACATGTCCGCGGCCAGGAAAGGTGTGCTTTGAACCGTGAGCCGCCATCGAGCGGCGCATACTGACTAACAAACACATCTAGCCGACATAGGACGAAGAATACGCATTGACCAGTGAAGATCAGCTACAGGGAGATAGCGACTGAATTCTGTTCAACTGATGTCCAGGATCAGAATATTTTTGATCTCTTCCCAGACTTTGTTTTTACTTTCCCGTGGGACTATTCCACTTCGACTGCGAATATTTCCAGATGTGGCACTCATTATGCGAATTGTTCGAAGAATCATCTACTGAACGTTCGGTCAGTACCCAACTACTAACAGAGTACTTCCCACTTACTGTTCATTAGCACAACGGGAGCAGCGTCATGAAAGGCCAGGGTACCACACTCGCCACCGAGTGGATGGTAAACAGAGTGATAGACGCTTGGTATATTGCTTTGTTGCAAATCAGTCCACGCAGTTCCTCCTTTCTCACTGTTGAACTGATTGCGGACTAGGTGCTCGCTTTGAATCACGGTCCTTCAACACAGTCAACTATCCTCATCAAATGCAGGAATATCCTCACTTTTAGATAGCCCTTTCGAATCAGGTCGAAATCCTAGCGGTGTGTGTATCCATGCATCTACGTTACGCTTTCCTCGTCTTCTCTTCACTGACAGTCCTGCGTTCATGTTCTGTGAGCCGTGGTTGTTCTTTTCTCAAGCCCTTCTCTCGACCAGCCGCCTTTTTACAATTTATCTCGTGTATTCAGGCTCCGCGGCTATCAGGTCACTCTCTGGTGCAATTGATTGGCTTCCACTATGAATCCGAAGCCTAACTTTCGTCTGTCCTAGTGTGAGTCCTGGGACCGTTCAATTGATCAATTGTGATTAACGCGCCGAACTACTGTGGGCATGGCTGCAGTAATCCCCCCCCATTTCACCACACAACTAACAGCTACACAAGTGCGCGGAAAATAAGGGACACATCGAAGTGGAGGAATTGAGATTACCATCCGGATGAAGTAACCATGCAACGGTATCTTCGACCATTGGATTGTTTTGTACCCAGCACTAATTTTAGCTATCAGTGTGGTCCGCCTCCTTTCGTCTATTTGATACACCCCTTCCGGGTGCATTGTCCGAGCATGTTCAACTGGTATGTTCCGTGTCCTCGTGGTGCGCTCCCTCGCTATTTGCTACTCAAACGGCATCAGCAACACGCCAATACGCAGTACCGACGCTTCGCTGCCACACAACCACCACCAGTCGCCCGGTCCCTACGCATGCTCGAACGCACACCGGTCGGATTACAAGGCAGGCTTGTGATCCTTAAGGCTACGGGTTGGCAGTTGCTACTCAACTGTTTTAGTGACCCTACAGCACCGTCAATCAAACCAAAGAGTGGGTTGCCTGCTGTGCACTGATTTCTTTCAGCGTCCGCACGCACGCTGCATCACGCAGTGACTCACTTCTGCTTGTCATGGTGTACACCAAATCTGTGCGGCGCTTATCGTCTCTTAGCTGGCTATGCACCACCACATGAATAGTTGGTAACCATGTACACTCCTTTCGGAACAATGTCCTTCGGAGGGATGCGGCTGCCTGGACGTCATGTGCAGTTACTTCGAACATGCGGACACGACGAAACTAACTTGGACAGGAATTCTTCGGCCGCCCAATTTGCCACCTGTATCCGGACTGGTGCTCTATGCATCTGGAACCACCAATGTTAGTCGATTACCACCGCGATTTTTCCTGCTACAACTCTTTCCACTTACTGAACGAAGCGAACAGTGCTCTTGCCCTGTGGCGACACGTCTGTAAAAAGATACTGCAGTGTTTGCTTCCTTCAGTGCTTGAGAAGAGGCGAGAGTTGTGGCAGGACAACTCTTGGTTGCTTCACCGTGACAGCGCATCTGTTCACAATTTCCTGAGCGTCCGACAGTTCCTCTTCAAGGAAATCCTCGCTCGGCTCACCCGACCTAGCTCCGTGTGACCTTTTCCACTTCCCCAAACACAAGGAGACTCGTTTTTGAGATGTGGCAGACATCAAGAAGGTTGTGATGACAGAGCTGCGGTGTATCCCGGAATAATCCATCCAGAACTGGTAGAAAAGGATGGGAAAGTGTATTGGATACCAATGGGAAAACTCTTCGGTTGAAGTGTGGGTTTGAAACAGACCTTTAGGGGCACCAGTCCTGGAACGTTTCTGGCACCTCATGACCGTAGAAACTTCTATCCAGTCTAGATTATTGAGGAGGGAATAAGCAGCTAGCCAAACCAATGAGACGATCAACTGTATTTATTGACTTTTCAATGATAACGAAAATTAGTCGTTCTCCTCCGAAGTCTTGCACTTTGAAACCGCAACGCTGAAACTTACTTGTGCAACGTTCTGTGATACTCTACTGAGCAACGTTTATCTAGCAATTGATAGCAACTCACAAGGGCCACTTTATCTACGTGCTACGAGTTTATTTATTAATTACCTGGAAGTACCTCCCCCAAGTTTACCTTGGCCACTTACCTTGCTTTCCTCGGTCAAGTCATAACGGGGCTTCTAGGATATCCTTACGCAACTCACGATTCTAAGTGCGATCAGCGTCAGTAGCACTACGCCTGCACTATGTACTAACACTTCGCTGGCATGCGACCAGCGAAAGTCGCGGGCTGGTTAAGGATAGTTTGTGGTCTCCCTCATCTGTGAAGACTCGAGCGAGTGACCTGTGGGTTACAAGCCAGGCGCCTGAATTTATCCGCCACTGGCCGGCACACCTAGGCGATCTACAAATCAATCTACGCAACGGAGTTTTAGTAGTCACTCTTTATCTACTGGCATGAAATTCGGCCTGACTTTCACTCACCTGAAAGGTGCCCCGTTTTCCCCGAATTCCTGACTCATTGGCCGCAGTTTCTAGGATTATAAACCTGCCTTGTAATCCGAGGGCGCGGGTTCGAACCTGCGCAAGGGACCGGGCGACCCTCGCGGTATACTCAGCCCACCCGCGACTGGTGGTGATTGCGGGGCAGCGAAGCGTCTGTACTGTGTACTGTCGTACTTCTGATGCTTACCGAGTTCCGGATACCCACAAGCTTGACGTTTATGATGACATCAGAACGGTGCATTCACTGACCTCACCGCATGCTGTATGTCAACTAGCCTTCTGTTCCTTACTTTGCTCTAGATTGATTCGCGAACCACTTTGTTCATGAAATCTTCCATGTGTAGCCAGCTGTGTGATCCTCACCTTCCCATTCTCCACTGCTCTCGCATTATCATTCATTCAGGTTGATCATCAGTTGATAATCGCTCGTGCCAGTTTTACGTACGCAGTTTGCAACAGGCCCCATTCACTTTTCAAATGTTCTTGCTGTCTTTTTCTACTCACCGCAGACATGTGAACCTGGTCGATTGTTAACGAAATTTCTCTCTGCCATACGCGAAACTTTGAGTGCATCTCTGGATCGTCTATCAAGCAGAATGTGTGCTCCTTCGGAGGACGTTGATGTGTTCCATCCGAACCGATTGGCTGACAGCTGTTCTGGCTTGCTTTTTCTGGCTCTTGGGCGCCTTACTTCCAACGAGGCTGGTGAGGCACATCTCGAGTCTAGTGGACTTTGTCCTCTCTTTCTCAGACTATTCACATTTCCTGCCCCGTCGAATGAGAAACATGTTGTGCATCGGTCTTTGCTAGCAAAACTACTGCTCTCTTCACTGGATTTCACGCGTTCCGGTGGATTGTCTCAAAAGATTCTAACAGCTGCTGTCGAGAGCGATTCGAAGGTGAGATTTATTTCCACTTTACCCATCCGCCGTTTTTCAGTGCTTCAGCTGTGTGTCCGTCATTGCCTTTCCTACTTTCGTTCGTTAAACGAGATACAGGCAGCCACCAACTGCTCATTCCACTCTGGTCTTTTGTTTTCGACTAGCGTAGCATTACGTAAGGTGCCTTTTGCTGATGGTCTTCCAACGCATTACCTCCGCTTCTACCTGGCGACGATCGTCATCTGTTAGCCTCCCTAAATCCAACCAAAGCAGGATTAGGGGTCTTGTTAACCATTTATGTGTGTAGTTTTGGAGCTATTACGGATTGTTGGGCCTCAACTAGCCACAAAATGCATTGATAAGTCTCATTCAAGTTAGTCAGGTCAAGAATTTGCTTTATGCACCCATGAATGGTGAATATTCCCCTCGAACAATACACACGCCACCGGAATGAGATAGATAATGAAAACGGATAGTACATTGGGATAGATATAAAACCGCAATCATTAAACTACACCTGACAGATCAAATATCACTGGAGTATAATGTACTAACCAGTTCTTGAATAACTGAATTTTTATCGTTTGAAAAAAAACGTGACGAACAAGCAACTACTGATGTACCCTAGGCCCTTGTGCGGACGTACCTAGTCTTGTAGCTTTATCAGGTCGTGGAGGTTGATACGCAATCAGACAACACCCTATGGAGGGAGTGGCTAACATCAGTGAGTATTTTAGATGCAAACTTGTTACAGGAGTTGACATGGCTGGCTACAATGATGTCAAGACGCTTCAGCCTTGAAATGCTACCATACCGGGATAGATGCCTCACTGTTCCTGCAATTACTTTGAGGTGCTTACTCAGGAAACATCACGGGAGAGCAATGTGTCCAGTATGGTAATTACACATGCAGTGACAAAACGCTGAATTAAAAAATGGGGTACGGAAGAAGACTTAAGACGTGTGACATTGAATAAGAGTCTGCTAATTTTAGCGAATGTTTAGTTCAGTCGAAGGGACCACATAAGTCCACTGCTCAGTGTCACTCCAAGATAATTCACTGATGTGGAAGAGGTCAGCCATTCACCGTCAATGCAAGGTGGCGGACACTGCTGAATGATATTGTTTCGAACGCATCATCGTTATGGATTTTATCGGCTTTATCCCCTGTTCGACAACAAACCGATGTCCGAGTGGTTCACGCATCTGGCTTGTAATCCACAAGTCATCGATACTGTTCTTCATGTTTGATGGCGGTCGTGTGACTGCGATGCGACATATATCCTTGTACTACTCTACCCTAGCATGTACTGTAAAGGGAGCAGAGCTGTGATGTGACACAGTTGGTAGCTTAGTCACTTCCTTTACGAACCTCAGCTGCGGATCAACGACTTCGGCAACTGTCTTACAGTCCTTAGCTCCTGATCTCCGTTTCACATCTGCTTCGAAGATTGCTCACTATTGACCGATTCGGGGGGAGTTCTTCATTCTTTTCGGTCTGCGTTTCCACATTATATCCTCCCACTTACTTACACGCCTTTTTCTCCAAATCTCGTTAACTGGTCCATTTTCTTGGCTATTTCTCATTCTCTTACATATGTATACTGGATCTCACTTCAACGGACAAATTCGCTACTTTGCGTATCTCATTCACATGTTGTACATGAACCTTACGCTTTTCGGATAACTGATCATACTACTGTTCGTGTGTTGTTTCAGTCGATCCAACTGTACACCGTTCAGCTGATGCGATTACTTCTCAGACTCCGCACACCACTCGACTGCGCCTGGTACCTGGACCTCATCAGCAAACTCTGTTTTAATCTTTCGCTGCGTGTTTCTCACCAGGCTCTTCAACTGCTTGAGGCAAGTGTCTGTCAAATGTTTCTCCCTTTACGTATTCCAAGATATTGAGACTTACTTATTTATTATGTCGACTTTTTCTCCCAGGAGACCTGTTCCAATCCTGTGTGCTTGCGAATGCTAACTTCCCTCGTGTTGCGTGATCCTTCCTCCGGGACGCCTACCGCTTTGTCCGATCTTCTTACCCCTCTCGGATTTCGATTGTTAGGTCGCACTTCGGGTCCCATCGGACACAGGATCTTCGGCCATATCTTATCGCACGGAGCTGCATTTCACCGCATTGCGTCGTGCACCCTGAAACCAGTGGATCGTACCGTTTCACCGACACATTTGAACTTGCAAAGTGGAGAATCCCAGGCGGAAACCCTAATAGATTGGATGTTGAATGCGGCTCGATCGGTGAGTTACGCTTGGTCTAGTTGTTTTATTCACCTTTGTTGTGGCATTCGTATTCAGACACTTGTACTCTAAAAGGAAAGGGCGTCGCCTAGCACGCAATATTAGTGCAACTTAGGGTTACAACTTCTCTTCAGGCTAGTATTTCATCGTCCTTCGCTGCTAATGTTGCGTCCAGCCTGATCCCGTCAACATTCAATGGCTAGCGACCTGATATTACCTTTTGTGAGGAGAGAAATCACCAATCCTTGTTTGATGGAGAATGCACGTTCATTTACACGTTGCGTTGTTCAATCAGAAGCGCGCGCTTTGTCCACTGACTATGCACCCGCTGCGGCATCCTTGCTTCTCAGTTTGATACCATTCCCTCTGTTTTTCAGCCCAAATAATTACTTTGTGGTTCACCATGTAGATTTGGGGCTACAGTGCTCCAAATATCAGCAAACTTAGTCGCTCCATCTCGATAGCAATACTGGCGGTCACCGTCTTCTCAAGTGGGTTAACGGGATGTTTGACAGGGGAGGTAGGGAATGCTTCCAATGCCGAAACAGAATATATCTACTGTTTTAAAGGTATAAGTGGTTTCCTCTACGAAGGTCAAGTACAATAATTGTTCTAGGGACCCTGGCACAGAACAAAACAACAGGTAAGGATGCGCAATGGGCAGAGCAACGGAGAAGCTTCGGTTGGAACATCCAAATATTGGAATTAATGTGCGAAAAACGATAAAGTGAACATGGATGCGGGAACTATCTTTTAACTAGTAGTATATTGCACCTTCTACGTTTTTTAAGTCAGTGCGCAACCTCCCTGAAATTTCGCGTTCTTTCCACTTGGCCACGTTTACGGTTCCGATTTTGCTACCAGGAGATGATCTCACTTGTATTCGAATAGTCTATAGTTTCATTATGTTTATTCACCTTTTATTTTTATAACGCGGCACAGGTTTCGGCCACTGAATGACAATAGCGCGGAACTCGATGTGGTCGATCAATTCACTTATCTTGGCGGCTGCATTAACAACGATGAGCGCATAACCACTGAAATCACTTCACTTATTCCAAAAGCCAGAACTCTCTACTTGAATCTCCGACATTTCTGGCGTCAGAAGACCATGTTCACAAGGTCATAGTGAGGGCCGCCCCACTCTATGGGAGTGAGACTTGGCCTCTTCAATCTGAAAATCTGCCGCGCCTGCAAGTTTTCACTGTTTGATGCCTGCTGGCGTCGGATAACACCAGCGTGTTTGCAACGATTATGTGCGTAGGCGAGTGTTAAGCCGTAAATATAAGGGCTAGTTCCTTAGAACAATGTGTAGCACTGAATAAGTTGCATTGGCTTGGGCATGTACTACGTATACTACTCGGTCACGATTTGCCGATGAGGGCCTTGTTCTTGCTAGTTGTATGCTGGCTCGAGGTGGTAACATTTAACTTGGTGGCTGGAAACGAAGTCACTGACTACAAAACTGGGTGCTGTTGGTCCGTCTCGCTTTCCAGGACGACGTCCACGTGATCCGCCTTGCGCTTGGCTGGAGACGTTACAAAATATGGCTCGCACTGAGCATCAGTGGCGCATTTGCTGTCATCTACTCTTGGGTTGCCTGTTTAATGTGTGTTTGGTGTTGAGTTATCTGCGGGTAATGGCTGATTATGACTCGAGGCAGTTAAAACCCCAAGGAAACTTTCTCGCCTATACTGCCTCCTCTCTTCACCGTAATCGGTTGTTTGTGACGGTATACTGTTGACAAAGTGTAGACGCCTTGACCTTGAATATTTGTTCAGGGCACTAAGGTTTTATGCTAGGCTCCCCTTCTCTCCCTGTTCCCTAGGTCACCGTGCTTGGACGGCAGCGATGCATTAGTTCAAATGACTAATGTGATGATGACGATTGTGCGCACCAATCAATATGTCAAGTGCGTGGTCTTGCTGACCCACTCTGCCACATTAATTGAATCCTCTCATTATGTGATTATTCTTGTCGGATCACCGGTGTAGCCCATGCTCATACGTATTTGGCAATATGTGACATCTCCCGAAATACATCACTTCTCTCTCCGTCCTACGCGCGCAAACCCACAAACGTATAGCCACTAAATGCTATGTCGTACATAGCTACCGTTTCTGAAGGTCGTGGTTTTTGAGCGGCCAACTCTGTCCTCTGCAACGTTCGCTGCGGAGGATAAGTTGCAATATGTCACATTTGGCTTTTAAATCATGACGCTCGGCTGTCATCATCCACGGCTCAGAGTCATATACTGCTAGCGGTCAGGAGTTCGGTTCGTGCTGTAGACGTGGGATGCTCACTGTCGGCGAGTTCGGACAGGACGAAATGGCTTTCCGGACGTGTAGAGTACCGTGTGACTTAGAGGCTGCTGCGAAGAACGTTCAGTTAATAACCACAAAAATTTCAATGACTACATTCCTCTGAATCCTGCCGATGCGCACATTTTTGGCGGCATCTGATTCCGGATTTGTCTGTCACTGCGGTCTCCATGGGGACAGCCACAGGACGCCTGCGCCCAAAGAGGGACCATGTGTGACTTGCGCTGCACCACCCACAGCTCCACCCACCCACACACACACACACACACACACACACACACACACACACACACACACACACACACACACACACACACACATCATATCCAGTGTAACTCCGAAGCAATGAGACTGAGAGGCATGGGAATGGGATCCACGTTTCATCAAAGGAGCCAGCCCACACTCTTTCAACATGCACAGTAGCAGCATTCCGGTCTATCTATGTAGGGAATCATGCGTACCAGACGTACACAAGGCGGTGGCTGGGCCGTAGTCCGCTTCACACTGGATAGAACCACTCTCTGAGCCTAGCACGCCAACGAGGACCGTGCCCCCTGTACCCCTCAGCAACCATTCACAGACTCCTGGATCCAGCAATCGAGGTGGAGGGTTTTAGACAAGTAGGCACCTTGTCAACATTCACATGAAGCGCAGCCACACCGGATATATCAAATAGTCAACATAGAATTTGAGGGCAAGCAAACACGCAAAATTGACACAGAATATGCTGCAAAGGTACAGAACCGAACAAATCGAACAAATTGGAATATATTTTATCCAGATTAAAAAGATCTGCTTTCAGTATAGATTCGTTTAGTCCGACTGCGATGAAGAAGCATCATTTATGCAACGTCAGCCTGGATATCTCAACTTATCGGTTTTTGTTTGTATACCAGTGCGAAGCAATTCGGCGTACTCTGGGCGGCTATCCAGATCTTTTAGTGCTGATTTACAAATCCTCACTTCTACTTATGCCTTCACCAACACCCACGTTAACGACCTTTGGCCTCCGCCGTAAATGTCCTTGAGCTGTACCTCTCTTTGAACCTGAGGAACGGCACATGCGTTGACACGTATCATCCGTTTTTCTTTCAGAGTTCTTTGTATTCTTTGTTTAACATTTAGCTCTCACGTCATCGTTTTCACACTGAGTGACTCGCGTCTCCTCTTACCTCTCGGGATTTTTTGAAGGCCCTTTCAGATGTCTTGTACAAAGTACTTTGCTAATTCCAACTTACTGCGTCTAAAAGTTGAACGCCTGAGTGGCCAATAAAACCTAATGACCATTTTCGACGAGCCGCACTGATTTCACCCTTCTGCAAACACACCTTTCTGCCCATTTTCGTAGAGCTTCAACCTGGCCTACGTACTAGAACTGGACAACCGTCTAAACGGCTTGTTTATCCCGTCTATGTCACGGCCACGATTATCGATCCAACCCTCCGATGAGGCATATGAATGGCTACGCCTACATTGCTGTGATTCTGCATGTCCGTCACGGGCTCACCTTGAGGACTCTGACAACAATGATGATGACTCCTTCAGCCTAGACGATTTGTATCGGCCGAGTAATCAGGATTTTGGATTTCTTGAATCTGCCTTCAACTTGACAGAAACATCAACCCATTCCCTTTTCGTGAAGCAGCACGGTGCACCAAGACACCGTCTTGCTGATGACCTATTCTCTCTTCCTATTCCAGTGCATTTGTACGGCTGCCTTGCCGTACACGAAGCCGGATTTCAATTGCTGGTTTCCCGAGGTGACCTGGAGGTAAGTTTGTTACGCATTTAGTTACCCGAGAACAAGCTTTTCGTTATCCTGTCACTCCCCTTTGGTTTTTGATTGCTACGTCATTGCACGTTCTCTTTGCTTATTTGTTGGTTTTTAATACTGTTTTGGCCTACTGCCTATCAACACCGCTCTTGATCACAAGGATACCGCGCTTCTCGTAGCAATCTCCGCGGTGCTTTCAATAAACACACCCATTAGTAAACTAGATTTTTCTCTGGGTATATGAAATACTTCAATACCAATGTTGAATGCCGTGTTGTACATTGCAAAATGTGATGCTAGGCCGTGTTCGGCTGGCAAAAAATTACATCCTCCTATTCATGAGCCCCACAACCTTTACCACAAATAAAAATATAAAGGGTAAATTCCTCGACGGTGACAAGCACAGTCCAACTGATTGGTCTGGTCCGTATGTACAACGGGATCGCATGAGACAAACAATATTTCTTCGAGTTCTTTTTTCAGTGCATTACCCAAACTATTTTGTGGGGCTGATTAATCCGTTGCATCTTTCAAATAGGGATTGGTTGATACTAATAATAATAAATGCAGATAAATGTTCTAGTAAAGTAATACGACCAACCGTAGATTCGTCTCCAGGGGACCTGCTTCCATGCAGGGTAGCTCCTCGAAAAGTCCCACCTGCACTTCTATGTCTGTTCTGACCGTGTGCTGATGTGGTTTTAAAGCCGGTTTGCCATCACTAATTGTACTCATCTTTGGGGATATATATATATATATATATATATATATATATATATATATATATATATATATACCCCATGCTGAGACTGATGTTGCTGATCATGCTTCTTCACCGCAGTTGGGCTAAACCAACTTGCAGTTAAACTAGGTCTTTTTAATGTGGATAAAATTCATAACATTTTATTTGGTTTGCTCTTCGTACGTGATAATCTTCTAACTTCCACACGTCGCTCATGCAAATTGTATTAAAGTTGCGTAATCTTATCGCGTGGTATTTTTTAAATAACTTTCGGACTTTTTGTACTTACCGCGTATTCACCTTCAACGAATTTCTTCCATATGCTCATTTAGCGAGTATTAATGTTGTCATATGCGTTTACTTTATTCGATATTGGCATTTCGAATGATTGGCTGTTGTCTGACATCCCAGGTGTGACTGCGCCTGATGTGCATGTTGACAAGGTGCCTACCTGTCTATTACCCACTACCTCGGTTATCTGGCTCCAGGAGACAGTAGGTCGTTGCTGCAGGGGGCGGGGTGCACGATCCTTGTGGTCGTGCTAGGATCAAAGAGTGCTTACATCCACGGTGTATGGACCTTAGTTGAAGCAGCTGAGGACGCTGATCGATGGCAGTTCATGCGCTACCTGCACACAGACTGCAGACATAATGCAGATCTGGCCGTGGTCGCCGGTGTATCCTACTACGGTCGCAAAACATGTATGAAGTGTTCCAGATCTCCAAGGGCTGCGTTTGCCAGATCTCAAGTAGATCCTAATCTGTGTCCACAATCACATTCCCGAGCTGGATCTGCTCCCCACTTCCTTGTGGGTCAGACTATTGAGTCAAAGACTTCGGGTGGAGTCCCTCAAGCAAACCGGACTAGGCTCCACTATGTAGCTTGTGAACTATTGGGATGAAAGCCTTATCAGATTTACAACTAGAATCCTGTTACTAATAAGTACTATAAAATAAAAAGCCTCTCCTAGGTTCAAATTCTATAGATATAGCGTCTAGTGAGAGGACGTCATCACCTTGCAGGCTAACCACTGTCAGTGACAGTAGTAGATAGGTAGTGCTATGTCCCAGTTAGTTTGCAAATTATGTAGCCCAGCCAACGTCCCCACATGGCTCAGTGGCTTATGCTGCTGGCTAGTTAGCATCTGCCTCTAGCGGTCATGGGTTCCATCCTCCTTAGAGGACCGAGGGAATGCGCGCCACTGACGAGCCCCAATAGAGCGGAACGCGTTTGGTGCTTTTCCGGACTAGGCTCCGCTATGTAGCTTGTGAACTATTGGGATGAAAGCCTTATCAGATTTACAACTAAAATCCTGCTACTAATGAGTACTATAAACAAACACTTTAACCATATCTCGAACAATTGATCAGGGATCGACTGGCCTATATTGAACGGCCTCAGGCAGCACGATTTGAAGAAGAGTCTGGCGGACACGCCAACACTGGATGAGACGCAGAGAGCAATTAGTCAACTACGAAACGGCAAGTGTGCCGTTGCCTCCTGTGATAAAGGATGCCTTTGTGCTAGCACCATACAAGGGCAAAGGGAGCGAACAACTGCACGAATTATGGTGGCATTAACTTTCTGAGTTGTGTGGGCAAGGTGATTGCCCGAATCCTGCTCAACCGCATCATCAGTCTGGTTGCGGAACCGAATGTGGCGGAAGAGCAGTGCGGATTCCGTTCGGGTCGCAGCACTATATATATGGTGTTTGCGGCTCGTCAGTTGCAGCCTTTGTACTCGCTTCCCCAAGTCACTGGGGTCCGCCACATGTGCAGCAAATGCTGCATTCTTCACATACACCAATACGCCAATCGTCGCATTGTTCTCATCAAACCAACCAGGCTGCTTACAGTTTGCGCATCCGATGGTTTCCTCGGCAGCAGTTGTCACCTGATCACGAATGTGGTGTCACAGGTCGCCCACTGTAGCTATGCATTTCACATCACACAGAAGTGCAGCCATCGCCTTCCCCAGCTCAATACGTTTCTCCACACTACCGAAGGAGAGAGTGTTAAACGTACATCGATTCACGGCGGGAGTGCAATACATAGATTTAAGAAAATATATGTATAGTTTGGTCCGCACTAATTTGTCATCAGTGCCACACTCAACTCCACGCAGTACACGTGTCATGCGCACTTCACGCATATCACGCTGACGTACGATGACATAGTCGAGCAGGTGAGCGTGACCACTCCGTGGGTGCGTCCAGGTTGCTATATCATTCGCATTCAGTGCAAACCGAGTGTTCGTGATCGTCAGGCGGTTCCATGCACTCAGTGTGGAGCGGTCTACGGTCCAGCCACCGCCATGTGTGAGATTGATTCCCAACTACAGCGTGCGTGTGTTTGCCTGTGAAGGAGTGTGGGCCGGCTCCGTTGATGGAACGTGGCTCCCATCCGCATGCCTCGGTCTTATTCCTTCGGGTTTAGACCGGATCTGGAGTGGGTGGGTGGAACTGTGCGTGGTTCAGCGCAAGCCACCCATGGTCCCTCTGTTGGTGATTTGGCGTCCTGTGGCTGGCCACGGTGACCGGCAAATCCGAAATCTGATGCCGCCAACCCACCCCCCTACGTACACCTCTGAAACGAGTTTGCTGGCAAGCTCGTCTTCCGTGACTCATCGCCAAGCTCCTACTCCAGTAATGGATTAACTGAACGAAAACATCAGATCCGTGAACATGCTTTATGGAGTAAGTGGCTTGGATGACCAAGCTAAGTGATCACTCAAAAAGCGACTAAGAATATGATGTGTTTGGATGGACGTTGGGCGCACATCCGGCTCATGAAGTCGAATAAAAATCGCTTCAGTCGTCACATCTGACCACTTATATACGGTGTCTGAGAACATGGCAGATGGGCTGTAACGCCTCCAGTGCCTTCAGCTAGTTCAATGGTCTGCCTGATCCACAGACACAACGCGCACAACCAGACTGAGGACTACTGGAGGACTATTTTGAGTAGTTTTCCGGTTTTCATTCCGCTCTATCAGCGCAATGAAATGACCTAGGAATCCGGCCCCTGGTTTGTTGATTCAGAGCTGATGCTGATGTAAAGCGTGCTACTTATTAGCTTCGATCAGCAGCATCTGAAAATCAACTAGATCTCGCCTTCGCTGTCCCACCTTTTTTAATAGACAATTACGATAGATGGTCCGCCATCCTTCTTATCAAAATTAATTTTGCGTCTACTTCCCGTGACTGAATTTTCTTCTCTCGTAAGCTTCTCTGAGTAGCTGTTTCTTTTACGTATGCTTCTTATAAACTCTGACTCATCCTGCAGGGTGCTTTTGCTGAATCAAAGCTGGCAAAATAAGTTTGCTCTCAATTTTATGCCGCTTTTCTGTACGCGCTCTACTGGATTGGTCCGTTTTACCTACAGATTGGCTAGACATCTAAGTTAGACAAGGCATTGTCGCACACAAATTCGAGAATGCGCTCCATGTTGTGCCCAGGGTCGTGTAGTAGCCTGATGACGTACTGACTCTCGCTTCTACTACACATGTTTGAGTCTGTAATGCATGATCATACGCTACATTTGGTCACCACTGTTTAGCTTGTTTGCGTTAATACCAGTTTTCATTACATCCGTTGATCACTTCATAATCGAGAATTCATCTATGGTAAGCTCGTCTGTGGTGCTATGTCCCATTCTGAAAAATTGTACCTAGTTTTTGACTATCTAGGCATCCGCAAGCACATCAAGTTAGCTTCGTGTCTTTCAAGTTTGTTCTATATCACTTCTTTAGAGATCCACTGAACCGAAATATACGTTGTTAACTTGTCTCTGGTCCTTGTTTTCAACTGTACGCAGCGATGTGTTATTCCTATCCCCGCTGAAGCACACCTTGTGCTGCGTGTACATTCGCTTCTCCCCCCCCCCCCGTTGTTTCCCATTCGGTGCTGTAACCTCATGCGATTGCTGTGATCCAATTTTATGACAGAGATGTCGACTGAATAGATGTCATATCCCTGTGTACCTTTTTCCTTGTGCAGACCTTGCTTGGAACTCTGAATGCATCGGTGCAAGCTTCCGTCAAACAGCCATCAGGCGTGTCTTCTTCGTACTCACGCAACCCGCCAAGCGTTCTGGAAACCAAAGCAGCTCTATGGGCGTTAGCTCATGTATGTTCCTCTGGCTTTGGCCGGACGTGGTTGGCTCAACAAAAGAAGCTAGTCGGTTCTTTCAAGCTGCTTGCCACCGAGGCTCCATGTGTCGGAGTACGAACGTGAGTGTATACGGTGATCTCCCTGATTTAGCGACCGCACAATTTTTGTTATTCCGTTTTGTTTTGTGGTCATATTGATTTTTCGCTCTACTAACTGTATACGCCAACGACTAACCTCATGATTAACCAGAGATCATCACACCAGGAGCATGCTGCGGTCACACCGTTGTTCTACAATCAATGAATCTCCCACTTCATCCAACAGTCTCAATCTGCATGGTCTACTTCAGGCTCAGTTCGTTTAAACAACCCGGTGAACTCCTTCGCAGCGATACCAGAAACTGACAACAGCAAGATGAATACCGATAACGAAGCGAACAGTTGGTGACGTGAACATGTAGCGGAAATGCATGAGGAAGCTTTGTCGTCATCCAGGTTGGAAACACTAGAAACAAGAGTCGAGCACACGGCCGCCACGGATCGTCTGGTCGTCTCAAATCGGACTTGATCTTTAGTCACTATTTTGGAACCGTCGTCGACTACTGTTGGACACACCAGTCTCGCAAAATATTTCCGTCAGACAGTTTGTGTACACTAGGATTCATCCAACTGTGCTGTTGCTCTGCTCGTCAGACATGCTGTGATTTTCACTGAACCACCTTTACTTGTCCCTAAAGGGTCGCCTTTAACGACAATCACAATGTCATTTGATGCGCTCCACCCTCAGCCGATAGGATCGTGAGCACTACCGTCACAACGTCTGCGAAAGAAGGAACATTACCATTGTAACGACATGCTTCAACAGACTTGGCAATCCGGTGGAGTAGCCGTTTTCGCTTTCCATCGAGATAACATAGCAGTTTCCCTAGAACCCTCTTCTAAAATGAGGAGCATCTCGAAAGGTGCCAACAGCGCTTCTTGGACACCTCCATAAAATACAAGCAAGTGGTTATTAACTTGAATTCCCCTGGCTAGCATCTCTTGATGCCCAATGAGCTTTTAATCTTTAGTGCAACTGAACAGTTTGGGGGCATTATTGTTAATCAGGTCTATGTCTCTATGTGACTTCTACGATGCTCTGGTCCTTTTGAGTGATTTGAAGAGAAATCCGCAGCTATCAGTTTGAAGGCTCCTCTTCTGTGCTTTACACCGTGTTGGATGATATATTTTTATTCTTCCGTCACTGGATCGATATCGTGCTTTGGCACGGACGAAGTTATCTCGTCCCATTCTAGCAGTGTCCGCTTCTTATCGGACTTGTGAAGAGAGTTGTCCAGATTCTAGGTTGGTTCACTTGATTCGAGGAACGACGTGAACTAAGCCGTCCTTCAGGTTTGCTGCTGAGAATTTTCCACATGCCTGAAAATCACCGTTTCACGGATGGTTTGGTGTGGCGCCCTGTGAGCACTAGTCAAGTGGAGCTTTCATTGTCCTATACACTCGAAGGCTGACTCCTTAGCTGAACCTTCTTCCATGCTTCAGTCTTTCTCCCGAAGCTTGGTGCACATGTTATAAATTTGTTTATTTTTCAACTATACGAAACACGGCCCAGTATGTTGGTCCGAACAAATTGTACAAGTGTTTCGCAAATTTGTTGATGATACCGACATATGGAAAAAGGAACTGTCAGTTAGACCCTTAAGATGTACATTGTCAATCACATGTTGGTTGGTATTTCGCGAAGATATTGCAATGTAGCATATTTCTGCTTACATATGCTCGGCACGCAGTGTAGTCTATCATAGTACAGTAGTCGGGAGCGGCTTCCGCTTGATTGTTTCGCCATGTAGCAGAACGGAATCCAAATGCGAAGCATCCAGGCGTATGGGAATATTTCTCCACAGCATTTGGACGAGCCTCGGAGGAAGGGACATGTTGGAAAGGTAGAACGGTGGACAGGTTAATCGATTCGCACACAGGGAAGACTCTCGTAATTATGTCAGTTTTAGCCTATTTAAAATATTGTCAAGAAAATATTATATAGTTAAATAATATTGTGTTCAGCAGCATACAGTGAGTTAACATAGATAAGGGAGGTATACAACTTAGCCAATCATGTAATGTTCGAGATGGCCATTCATTAGAATGTGTCAGGCCTCTATTCCTATATATCGCCAATAGGCCTGTCAATATTTCGGGATCTGTAGCAGAGGCGGTACTCAAACACTAATTACATGGTACATCTATCATTACTGGCACCTTGATACGCGCGCATGTGTATCTGGGACAGAGTTAGCAATAGAAATCATCGCTCTTCGCAAGATTGTTGAAAGGGAATAGTGTAATAATTATCGAGTAGAAGAGAATTTGTACTCGGTTGACCTGCTTTATAGGCATCTATGTGGTTATCGAGGCCTTGAGATAAACATGGCCGGTTAATGAGAGGATATAACGGGGGTCTAAGGAGTGAAAACGAGGACTCGGTTTACCTTCCATCGCCGACTTCCATTTGGGCATGAAAGCCTCGAGGTCGGCGTGACCGAGTAGAGAAAGAATATAACAGTGGTCGAATGAATGAAAAAGAGGACTCGCTTTAACGCGTCCCTCTTTAGCCGCCATGTTGATATAGAGACCTTGAAGTTCGTATTGCCGGGTAAGGAGAGAAAGTGATAAATTTTGGAAGGGTGGGCATGAAAATTTGTTCTTTTTTTCTTTTTTTCCTCTTGGGATGTCAATGAGGCTTTTAGTGTACGACCGGGTGGTATCACAGACATTCATTATATGCCCTCTGGTCCCTCCTGATAAATCTCATCGATATTCAGCTTCATAAGTTGCATAGCTTTTGCGACTGAGAAATTTATCCAGCTATACACGGAACATGTGAGGAGATGTGCATGATCTAATGGACAGTGGGAGACGATCCGAAATCAGTGCGTATATAATAAGGAAAAATTCTCCGCGGCATATTGCAAGTGGCGCCAGTCGGTATTCGATTTATCTGCCTCGCTCGTCAAATGTAGCCAACCTAATGATAGCCATATTGCGGTGTCACGGTTTGGGTTACAAGCGACAGACATTTCAGGTTTTATTGCTCGCGCTATACCGAAACTGGGAGAGATCACTCTTTATGGATGCGTACGTGATAGTGCTCCAAATTTAAATGTCTGCTCATGAATATCTGACGTATGCCGTTTATTACCAATGACTGTGGTCTGTGTGAGTTCAGTTCCTCTGAAGTACTGTACTCCGGGCACCGATCTGCGGCAGACGCATTTGCCACGACTCACGTCGCCAGCAGAACAACAAAAATGGTGAAGAAACGAGGTAGCTTGCAAAGCTGATAGAGCTAGGAAAGCAGTTGGAGAAATCTATCCGGAGGGAATTTGGATAGTTACATGTAAGGCACTGAATGCAATGCCACTTAGGAGTATTACCAGAGAGGGCAGCAGCCTTCATTTCCCAAGCACACTGAGACCACCAGGCTTTGCGATCACTGCGCAGGCTTTGTTTGAGTTGCCCACTGACAGGACGGCGCACTTTCTTATAATTAGACAGGTGGGATATTTCTGAAGTGCTCAGATAGATCCATGGAACTCATGGAGATCCAGGCCTTCATAGAGTGTTGAGCTACCTACCACCGGCTGTCCGGAAGAAATCATCGTCTTCTGCATGAACGTGCGGCGTTCATCAAGGTCCTGCGGTAGATCGCAACTAGGGAACATTGATAGCTCTGCTAAACTGAGGGAGTGCTTCGGTGACTCTCCGAAACTTATGCAGATGTTCGCACGTACGCTGGTGTGATCTGCATCTAGAGATGTAGACCAGATTGATCTGCAATCCTTTACACTACCATGCCATCTGAAACTGACTGCCATATGATCAGTTTTAGACCATGCTTGCGTTAGTGAATTGAGGCACCAACTAACCTAACCTGTCCTCCTTTGCTTGAATTTGGTACTAGAGAGAAGCAGACAGTTATCTGAAACATAAATATTCCTTCATAATTCCAACTACGAATACCACAAGATGTATGTTGTGAGATGACACTGTGCTTTCGTGCATTCTCATTGGCGACGTACATGCAAATAACAAAAAAAATCAAATTAAGGTCACATAAGTCCAGTTGTTGGTCAACTGAATTCCCCTTATGCGCGTTACTCTTTACCACTGGATGTTTAGCGTCATAGCTGTTTTCTGAACACACAGAGCCTTGGGCGCTCTCAATCGATAACAATGGTCTTGAAAAGCTTGACAATGTGGGACCTTTGGCTGCGCATGATGACTGTGAATGAATCATTCGGTTTTACCTGTTGACCGGTGTTCAGCAAATGCCTCATAAATTCTGACGTAACGTTGCTACTCGATTCACCGAGTGAAACCGTCGCATGTTCCATCCGTTTGCGGAGCCATTTTGGAATGTGTTCGTTGATCCGGAGACCTAGCTTTCGATCAATGCTCCCAGCATAGCTGTCTCGCAGCTACATGTGGATTTGTATAGACAGTGGGACGTTCCCTGGTTCCACACCGGTGTCTTCATTGAACACTTATGCAGTGGTGTTGTGGACAAACGCATGCGTATCTCCGCTGCATTGTATGCCTTTTACATTGAGGCGCCTATTCGTTTCGCGGCGAACTTCATGAGGTGATCACCTTTGAATGGCAACTCTATGAAAACCGGTTTCTTTTGAACCCTTATCTCAATCTCCTTTCACTGGGTCGCTGTAACGCTTTATGTACTGTAGTGGATAACCGTTAGATTGTAGCATCTGAAACAATAGTTCTTTCTCAGCTTCCAGTGGACCTGTGTTCAAAAACATCTTACTGTGACCCTTAGCCTTCTGTTTTAGAGAGTAACGCACAATCGTAATTCAGTTTTGATCAACAATTGGACTTATGTGTTCTTAATTTGGTTTCTTTGTTCTTTGCATGTACGTCACCATTGAGCATGTACGAAATGACAGTATCATCCCACAACAGACAGTTATGGAGTGGACTCTCGTCGTGAGCATGATGACCACCGAAGAGACGTTCACATGGTCATAGATGACCGACCCGTGCTTTGAAACCCCCAGCAAGGATTTGTAAACTTTCTTCATAAGTTGGTGAAATTCACTCTCGAC